CCCACAGGTCCAAGTGTGGGTGCCTCAACTTCCCTAGCAAGTCCACATCTCATAAACTCCTCCATCCTTGAGTAACTCAAGTCCTTCAGCCGCTTCACCGTCACGATAAACCCGAACTCTATCACTGCCTTGTACGTACTTCCCATTGTGGATCCATACATATAAAATCATGGCACCATTTATCCAAAATCAACAAAACCAATCACTTTGTCAACACAGTCAACAAAATCATTCACTTTGTCTCTAGTTCCTTTTCAAAATCTACAAAAGGGATATGAGTTTATACCCTTCGATTGCAAGATCCCTACACATATAACAAGAGACATTGTCCTTCAATTTTTCCTTAATCTAAACATTAGAAACAAAATCGAAGAAGGATGGGACTAAAGTGTAAACTCCACAACAAATTCAGAAGAAAAAAAAAACCCCATCTCAAATTTCCCACCATATCTGCAGATTAATGAAAACCCAGATGTGCTAGATGCCCAATCTTACAAAAAATTAAGATTTGAGATGAGACACTGGAAGACTAAGAACAGAGGGCATAGTGGTCGATTTCGATTCACATGGCACTAATGATGGTGGTTTTTGACAATCTCGAGGTGCTGATGATGGGGGTCTTCGTTGAAGAGGAGAATCGAGAAATGGGTGGTGCGACAGCGGTGGCGGTTCTGAGTTTGATGTCGTCGAGGTCGAGGAGGAGAAGACGAGTGACAGAGAGTATGTGGGTGGGAGGAGACAAGAAAGAGTTGAGTTACAGATTGGGGGATAGGATCCTAGATGATCGACTAAGAACCGGGCCGGTCCGGGGGCCCATTCTTCTTCATATTTGGCCTCGGGCCCGCCCCTTAATTGTCAATGCCCCGCTCCGCCCCGTTTAATCTCTAAAATAATTGGAACCGCCTCATACCAGCCCCGAACCTAGATTACTTGCCCCAACCCACGGTTCCATTACCCGTTTGGCCACCCCTAGTGAAAAATAATAATGTCTATACACTTTGGTGTTGATTCAATCCCTATTACTCCTTCCCTCTAACATTAAACAACTTAACTCACTAACGTTATTGTTTGTCCAAAAAAAAAAAATTGTTAATCCTTGGAAAAAAAAAAACAAAAGGAGGTTTTGTAAATTTATTATAAAATTAAGAATCGATATAAATATCAAAAAGGACACTTAGGATGTATATCCTCAATCCAAAGAGACTTCAACAAAACATAAAATAAAGATAACATTGCAAAGCCCAATGAACTCCCTTCTTGATGAAAAACTCTCAAACTTAATGAGTTGGCATATGAAAAATTATGCGCACAAAACTAGCAATATAATGAACCGGCATGTGTTGAGATGGCTAGATTGGTTTTCATCTTTGAGCGATGAGTTATGTGGTCTCATATGTCAATGATGACTTGATGCGGTATCGCTCTACTACAATGACCTTATGTGGACTCACTATTCAGTGGTGACCAATGTGACTTTCAGACTTTGTTGTGTGTATTTATTGTGACATATCAATATCATTAACGATTGTGCGCTTGGCAAATGTGTTATTGTGCGTTTATGCTTGTGGTAGCCTTTTAGGGGCGGAGACTACAAAGTTGGAACTACCTTCCTAAACGTTGGTTGTATTATTTTCGTTGATCGTATCTTTTTGCGAGTGTGGTCTTCGTCCCCCGGCTTTTATTTGGTTCTTTTGTATTGTTTTATTAAGAGTAATGCTAGGGAAACTAAATTTTGTAAACTAAATGACATGAAAGTTGGTGATTGGATTATTACTTAATCGTTGACAAACATGCTCATTTTCTATTGGTGACACCTTATTTGGTTTGCTAATTTAGTCTACAAATTTAGTATCCTTAGCATTACTCTTTATTAATAGAAAATAAGAGGGAGGAGGGACAAGTGGGAGCTTTCCGAGTGTACGAGTCCTCAACCACACGGGGAGAGTCGGTGGCTTACAAGTGATCATTATACTAAAGAGCTAATCTCGCCTAACTCTTCTAAGTATTGCTAAAAAATTGATCAATAATGAATGCTTACTATTTGAGCTAGAAACGCTTTTGTCAACATTCACTACTTTTGACAAGTTGCTTTTATTTTTTTCGTTCAAAAAAAAAAAACAAAAAAAACAACTTGTCAAAAATAGTGAATGTTGTGTTATGTCTTCAATAGATGAAGTTTCATTTTTGTAAGATGAAATATAGAATCCAAAGGATAACACAAATTGGCGTAATCAAGTTGGCTACACCAGTGTCCTTTTTCATTTGCATTTAAGTTCAAATTCTTCTGTGGTGCATATTTATATGAGAAATAATTTTCACACATTTTTTTCTTCTCCTATGTACCTCTATATATTTACGTCCATTATTGATGTTTCAATTTAATGGACTAAAAAATAAATGAAAGTGTGTGTGAAAATAAATTTCCTCTCTAATTTTTAGTTATTTTACGTGATAAGAAATAAAAAGATAATAACAAAAAAGAAAAGAAATAGATGATCCTTAAAAAGACAGTCAAAGATTGCGTGGTTATAGTTCACCAAATTATTTATTCTGGCCATGAGAATGCATATTGCTTTGTGAATGAATGAGTGAATGATTCATTTGTACAGAAAGGTGACAATCCTTGTAGTTTAAAATTGAACACACTTACATCATGCGGCGACCCTCACTTGTACACTGCACAGCACAACGCAATTCAACCGACGCCGCGACTAGTGCTTGTGCCATGTCCAATCTCTCATTCCTCGACTTGTGAGGTCGTCACCTTCTACTTGTGGGTGCTCGTGACCCCTTGTCCCATCATCAACTTTATATAATCAACTCAACTCCACCAATTACATGGAGATGGATTGTATGCCCTCTCCCTTTCGTATCCTTTTTATGTCTTCCTATTTTGTACGATCACGGTTAAGTCACATTAAAATTTATTTTTTGTCTTATTATTTTTATAAAAAAAATTAATATAAAATATTAACATGGTTTAACCGTGACTGTACAAAACAGGAGAGTATGAAAAAGGTATGAGAAGGGGAGGGCAGACAATCCATCTCCCAATTATATATCAAGCACAGTGTCTTCAAACACAACATGTATCATGTATTACTGACCATTAATATCCTTTTCTTATAGAGCAAACTTTCTTATCCAACACAACCAATCATAAGGGTTGGATATATTTGTTTTTATAACAAGACAATGTACAATTTGCTCTTTATCTTTCAACTCCACTTTAATGACATTTAGAGCTTGTTTGGTTTTGTTTTTATCAGCTAATATTTCTCGTGTACGACCTCATGGTGCCACTAAATGCTTGACAAAATACTCATGTCGGCGAATTGTACTAGCTATCAACAGGGGTCGGCAAACTCTACACATGCACACTGCTTGGCCACCCACATCAAGTCATGCACACAAATCATGAGATGGTTAGGTGCTCAATCAAATGCCTAAATAACCTGGTCGCAAAAATTTATTAATAGTAAAATGATTTTTTTTACTATAATTATGAATGAAAGTACTATTTGACTTAATACAATGACTGCATTGGTACGGAATCCTAAATTCATTTTAGTGTGAGGGTTAGGCAACATAATAAAATAGACTGCCTAACAAGACCAAATCTTTTATCATATTCTTCAAATGGTGACCATAAACAGGATGCTAGTAACTTCTCATTTGAACCTTCTGATTCTATCTTCTCGAATCTCTTTTTCATCTTTTAATATTGCTTGATAATCGAAACAATCTACTATCTAGATGACCCTTTGAATATCAATTTTGTGAAAAATCAACCAAATGAAGAAAAAAAAATTAAAGTTTGATTAACATTATCAAAATTTCAGTATTTAAGTAAGAAACATAGTTCGTCTATTTATAGATAAGCATAAGCACTGCTGCACTAGTTGATTAAAGCATTTCAAATTTATTATTATTATTATTATTATTATCATCATCATCATCTTCAAGAGGTGATTTTGAAAATAGATGGTGATATTGCATGGTGAGAAGGAGAAGAAAGTAAAACGAAAATGTACAAATGAGAAAATTGCTAGGATTATTATTCTCCAACTTTCAACTTCCAACTTCCAAATCCAAATCCAAATCAAATCCAAATCCAAATCCCAAAATCGAATCCCAAATCCAAGCTTAAAAAAGCAGGAGAGTGGAGAAGGAGTTCCGTCTCTGTTTGGTCTGACAAGAAGGTCATAAAGGTCTGTTTCTCTCTTTTTCTTTAGAAATTCTACCCTTAACCCTATTTATTAGGGTTAGATCCATTTTAAATTTTAGCGTCTAGAGTTTAGAAATAAAAAAATTTGAGCCACACAAATAAAATTTGACGGTTCTATAAACTTATTTTGCTGGTCGACTTCTCACAAACTAACGACTCTTTTTTTTTTTTCCACGAAAATTAAAGATGTAAATTTTTTATTTCTAAAATTCGAACAGTAAGATTTAAAGGTAGACCAATTCCTATGTATTGTCCAAAACAAGCCTAAAAGAGTACGATGGGAAGAGTCAAATATGAGTCAGGTTGTAGGGTAGGGTTGTTATTATCCACTAGCTACTCGTGGCAATAAAAGGCTGGGATTTATTTAGAGGGCCTACAATGACGTCTCCCTGCCCACGTGGCACAAATCTGTAACTCTTCTCGACAGGTTGAAGGACGAGGAGAACGCAAAAGTAAAATCAGAGAAACAGAACCGACTAGTGGTACAAAATAGTATGAGTTCTCAGATTTCGTAAAGGACGATGACGTGTTATATTTGTGTTTAATTCAATACTGAGTTAGTGACCAATCCATCGAAATCTTAATATGTTTTCGTCATAAGAATAATAGAGAACAGTGAGAAATATTTATGATTAATTTTGGACTAAATTAAATTGGGAAAATTCGAAAAGGGTAGGCGTCGTTTTTGGCTTATAAAATGGGGGGGGGGGGGGGGGGGGGGGAAGGGGGGCGAGGGGGAGCGACGGTTTCGTATGTTACTGAGTATGGTTATGATCTTTCACGTGTCTCTCCCTTTCCTCTCTCTCCGTTTTTTTCCGTTTCTGTTAGCTGTCTCTGTCTCTATTTATCTATCGCGCCTGCTTTCTGTTTCATTTCGCAGCAAAATAATAAATATATAATAATCTTGCTGCGGTTTTCTTCCTTTCTTATTTGTTAAGCTTCGTTTGACGGTGCTATTTTTCAACATATACATACACACACACACACACACATATATTATAATATATACACCTAGCACTCTCCTAATATATAAAAAACAGAGAGAGAGGTTTAGGTTTATAATTGGGAAAGAGCAATGGAGGGAAGAAAGAAAACTGGGTCGTCGTCTTCTTCCTTCACCTCTGAGCTTTTCGGGTCGAAGGAGTCATCTGCTTCTTCTGGGATTTTTGGGGCCATATTTGCGCCTTCGTCCAAGGATTTGGTATTATTCCCCTGTTTTTTGAATTATTTTTCTGAAATTTTTTATGGGTTTTTTTCTTCTTGTTTTCTTCGCTTGTTTAATTAGGTTTTGATTTTTATCTCTGCATTTTTCGTTTTGGCTTTTAAATTATGAGAATCCTAGCTGGGTTTTGTTTGATGGCAAATGGGGTTCTGTTCTTTCCCTTTCTTTCATTGAATTTAGCTTCAAGCCTTCGCCTTTACGTCAATTTACGTTGTTTGGGGGATGTTTTTGCTATTCTCTCTCTTAAAATCTTGGTGGGGTTTATCTATATTTTCTCCCAAGTTGGGTGAAATTGGGTGAAAACTCTCAATTGTCGTCTATTTCGGAATTGGATGATCAAGAAAAGTTTTTAATTTTTCATACTGAGATAACATTATTTTATTAATGAAGGGGTTTAGAATTATAAAATGGTTGTATATATTTGTTCTTTTGATTGGATTTTGCTTTATCTCCTCTTTGAATCTCTCTCTCTCTCTCTCTCCTGGGTGATCTTTTTGTTAGATTCTGTGTATATAGTATTTTATTTTTCTGTTGATTCAGGTGTTTGGGAGGGAATCTCTGCGTTCTGAAGTCACTGGGAAAAAGCTCACGGATGAACCATTGCACTTCAAGCCCGGAGATGAGCCAGGTTTGTTTGCTTTTTGTATCTTTCATCTGTTGTTTTTCATACGTTATGGCCGAAGTTTGTATTTTTTTTGTCCAGTTTTGTTTAGATTGCTTCTTTCTGCATGCTAGGCATAAGCTTGGTTAGCCCATTCCTTATGAAGGGGCCATGGCTAAAAGTGCTTCTGGGAAGTTCTTTCGGTTTTTATTCAGGATGCACTTGGATATTTATTATTTCGACGTGCTTCCAATTAAAACTTTTCAAACAAAAGAGCTCGTGAGCATAACTGCGGGGGGTCCGATATGGATTCTGCACTATTCATTCTGAATTGAACATTATGTTTATTTTCTTTTCAAATAAAAAAGTTTTAATTGGGTTGACCTTTTTATAAAATATATATATATATATATATATATTTGTAATTGTAGATCCAAGTAATTCTTGATTTTGTAAGCATGAATTGTGTGTTTGGGAAGTGTCTGATTCGGATGGATATCGTGTTGTTGCTGCTGCAGATGGTGCCTCAAAAGAGATCGAAGGTGAGAGTAAGAGCATAACAAATATGGACATAATAAGCTCCATCTATAGGGACCAGAGAGTGCAACAACCTTGCCATTTCAGTTCATCAATCTACTATGGTGGCCAAGATATTTATGCTCACCCCCAGAGTACCCAGAACCCTGAATATAACACTCCAGTGAGCGTTTTTCTTTGTTCTGTTATGTTTTATGTATAATCCAAGCACCAATGGAGTAATTGTGTAAAATTTGAACATTGAGATGTAACTTGTTCATTTCATGCTCTCTATGGCGGGAAATTTTCCCTTGTCATCGGGTGTATTGTGCGTCTCTATCATTTTATGGCGAGAGATAACAAGTCACATGATGAGAAATGTTGACACATGGTTGTGGCACACAAGATTTTCTCTTATGTGGCATGTTATGTCAAGGGATATAGCAAATTATACAAAATTACTATATAACTAAGGAGTTTCCATTTAGAATATGGCTGTTCTTATTGGGAGATTATTTCGTGATTATTTCAGTACAAGAAAGATGGGACTGAGGATGATTCGGGAAGTGCCTCTAGAGGAAACTGGTGGCAAGGTATAAATCATACTGCAATTGTTTACTGGAGAAATCTGTATATACTGTTCTAAAACTTCTGACATTGTTTTTTCTTCCAAATTTTCCATCTCTGCAGGGTCCCTCTATTATTAAGGGCTCCTTTGCCGACGCTTATACTCGTCAAGGTATGTTACTTACGAAACGTTATTTGAATTTACCATTCATGTCTCCAACAATTATTCTAATAATTACGTATCTAATTTGACTCATGGACGAATGTGCAAGCATACGTTTCAGTATACAGTATAGACACTTTCTTGTCGGTGACACGTCATCTACCATTTGAGTCTATAACAATTATTCCATTAATTACATATCTAATTTGACCTATGGGCGAATATGCAAACATACGTTCAAGTATCTATAGTATAGACACATCTTGTTGGCAGAATGTCATCTACCAATTGTCGGTGGCACATTATATATAAGTTGACCTATTGACGAAGGCATACGTTTCAGTAAATACTATATAGACACGTCTTGTTGGTGGCATGTCATACACCGTTGAGTCTCCGACAATTATTTAATAATTACGTATCTAATGTGCAAGCATACGTTTGGGTATATACACTTGTCGGTGGTACAGCATCTACGTTGTCCTTAACTTTTTCTTCTTTTTTTTTGACCTCGGTGAATTTCAATTTTTAACTTGCCTATATATTCAATCATGACATTTACCTTAAGAATCTTACCATATGAAGCATAGGTTTTTTCCCTTCTATTAATATGTATACAAAAGATTTTTGTCAAAAATTGTTCATCCGGTTTGCGAACAATAACTTTGGTTCTTCTTGTTTCAAATTGCTCAATGTCGTCCTCTATAGTTTTATTTGAGTGACCTTTGTGTATTACGTTTTGCAGATAATATAGGAAGGAAATAGGGTAGCAGCAGATGGTTGTGGACACAGCTGGTTTGTTTTCCTCCAGCCCCCCAAACACAGTACTCATATGTATGCACCTTCTTTAGTTTCTCTGTGAAATATGTACTCTCTCTCTCTCTCTCTCTCTGTGTTCTACTGTAAAGGATGTTTGGTTTAGTGACTTAATCATCCTCAACTGCTCTAATATGGTTCAAGATTTAGATGTTAATTTAGTTTGTTTAATGAGTGGTTTGTAATTCTAAGTCCATGTGGTTCTCTTTATCTCCGTTCTCTGTTGTTTTTCTCTGTGGATGGTTGGATAGTTAGTTTGTAGTCTCTGATCAACCTATTTGCGGTCCATGGATTGTGACCCGAGACAGAATCTGATTGATGGGCATGAACCCAAATCTGAACCTATGTTGTATTTGTGGCTGGTTTTTAAAATCGCCTCATAGTCCCAGTGATAGGGTTATCCTTCGGGGAAAATGTTCTCTTTTCGGATTCTCTAGTTCACGTTCAAAGTAACAATGTAAGTATGACAAGAATTCTCTGGAAAAGACTGATTATGACTTGGTAATATAATTGATTCTTGTGTGAGTACGTGTAGTTTAGATTCATTCTGATAATATAAGTATGACAAGAAAACATAACTCTATTTTTCACTTGTGTCTAATTTCTTTTTTATTCTCCATTTCACTTTAATTGGTTAAAAAAAGTTATTTGTATTACAGTTTAACAATATTCTTTTATGTTTCTAAGTGAGGTTTTAGAAACGTATCTTAAAATGCAAGTTCATAACTAATTTATTTCTCTCACATATGGGTGAAACTAATAACAGCGTCTTGTTCTAGTGTTAGGAAAAAACTTGAACACGACATTGCATTATTGAAGCGATTGTGGTGACCTGTCCATTGTAATTTCTCAAGTGGATAAAAAGTTTGTTCACTTTTCTAGCTCACCTCAAATTTAAGATTCCATTTGTAAGTCCCAACGTACACGAAACTAACAAATCAGTCCTCAAAGGCGGTGGTGGCCCATCAAAGCCAGGATTATTTTGCTTTCCAAACTTTTTTTCGATTTCTTATCCAACCTGCAAACTATCCCATGTCCGGTGAGACAGCTTTCCCCATGGTCGTTAAATTAAGTTCTGGTCGTTGAAGGCGTGGAAGAAGATTCTTCTGCCACGCTTTTACAAAGTTGCTTTTGATCTTGATGTTACAATGAGTGTTTGTCTCCAATTTGTCCAATCAATCATTCATTAATTAAGGGTATGTTTACATAACGGAAATGAGCGTGCAAACAAGCGGTATTATTTTCATTCATGATATCTCATGGGTTTCCTAATATGATCGGTAAAAAAATTGAGTGTTCCCAACTTAAAAAATAAACTAAGATATTACACCAACGACGAGCAAGTAGTTTATATTATACTTTTACAATAAAAAATAACACTCATTCACGATTTCTCATTTATCATCATTCAAGATTCTTCTTATTTGAATTAAGTAAAGTCTACAGAATTCAAGACAGCTTACCGTTTAGTTATATCACGAAGTAAACAAGTTACGAGGAGTTTGGCAAATTGCATATTTTATTTTACCAGAAAGAAGGATACGTACATGTGTTTGAAAAAAAAAAGAAGGATACGTACATGATACAGGATACTAGCTTTAATTTATTGCCAAATTACAAAGCAGTAATCCTACTTAATTAGTCACACTAGTAGCTAACTGCTTCAAATTCTTTAACCAGACCACCCCACGGCCTTCAACCTTTCCTTACATTCAATCACGGCATAGTATAGGCTGCAACATTAACGTGGCATTAGGTTATGTTAGTAAAAAAAATAATATTAAACAAAAAAAAAAGTTATGTTGTCACTAATAAATCATAGTTTGACAATTGCGTAAAAGAAACGTTGCATTTTTATGTTTTAGCGAGTAATTTTAAGTACGTATCATACTGAGAATTGCATGTATTTATAAATTTACCTCCGCACTTGTAACCGACTGGGCGGTTGGCAAAGTTGCAGCGCTTGGGAATGGTTATGGCAACCTCAGGCTTGACACCAGAGCTCTTGGCAGTGTTAGAAAGCAGGATGGCGCAGAGGCAGGTAGGGTTTTGGCCCAACCTCTTGACTTGCTGACAGCAACTATTGGAAACAGCAGCTTTTTCATACTGTGCAGCAGCTGCACAAGGAGCAAACTTGAAGGCCTCCTCATCTGGACTAGCTTTTCCACAAGCACTTGCCCCATCAGCCCTTTCAATCACAGCAATGCTTAAAACTGCAAGAAACCCTAGTACGCAAATAAATTTCACCGCAGCTGCCATTTTTGTGTTCCTCACAAAGTTCACCATACAGAAGTTTGGAGTTGATATTGTGTCCTATATCTTACAATTCCACAAGGATTATCTCTGTGTGATGAGGTTTTTATACTTGAATCCGATCAGAAAATATGGGTTTTCCATTCATCCACTCAGTACTAGTGTAAGTGGCACTAGAACCAATTGTTTATTAATTTTTAAAGCACTTTTGGATACAGAAACTGGCCAGAGGGATATCTGTTTCACTTTTACTCCAATAAAAAATATAGCATTGATCATTAGATAGTTTGACATGAAACCATTACTGACAGTGAAGATCCTCAAAAAAACCCTTGTTGCTGAGACACCTCATCGAATTCTCCAAAACTCCATTACCGACATGTTCCATTGAAATTTCTCCTCTTCCTATGTGTGAATACGTGTAACCAACTACCATACTATGTTAAATCTTCCAAGATAAACAACTGTTCAACCACTTCACCAAAAGCAGATAAGAATTAAGTCGGCTGGTCGACATAATGTATCAGCCTCTTGCACTCGAGTTCGAATAACCCTTGTTGTAAATTTTGTCTTCCCTTAATCAGATTTGATTTGTTTATATGGATGTGTGTGCAACTATAATTTTTTTTCCTCGAACAGACCTTCTACAATGTTAATGTTAGTTCCTTCTGCTTATAGATATTGGACATTTCCTAACGATCAAGGTCTAAGTAACAAGAAACTTCTAACTAAAATGGTTAAGAGCATTTATCTTTGTATCCAAAACAAAGTGTTCAAACTATTAAGGAAGATAACAAGTCTTCCATTTCTGTTGATGTTAAATAGTTTAGTAAAAGCTAAATGTGGTTAGTTTGTTATTAACTATAGTTAGTTAGAATGGTTACAAGTTTAGTTTAAGGTAGTCAAGGGTATATTTGTAAAGAGTCAAAGGCTATATATATTCTCTTCTGTGTAATTGTAAGATTCATTGAGTGAAATACAATCTTGTAGAAGAAGATTTATCATTCTTTATGGTATCATCGCCAGTCGCCTCACGGCTCTTCTCGATCCTCTTCTCTTCCGCTCCGATTTTCTGATCTGTACCTCGATTTGATTGTTCTCTGTGGCGATTTTGTTCTGCGCTTGTTGATCTTGATCTGTTTTCTTGCTCTCTCATGGCGACTTCGTTTGAGTCGGTGCCTATTATCAATCCCTCTTCTAACCCTAATTCCTCTTCATATTCCTCTCTCACAATCCAAAATATTGGCAGCATGGTACCAATCAAGCTTAAGATGACCAATTATTTGCCATGGTGTGCTCTATTTGCTCCGATTCTTTGGCGTTATCGTCTTCTTGGTATCGTTGATGGCACGGAACCCTATCCCACCCCTCTTCTGCCTGATCACACTCTTAATCCGGATTTCGAAGTTTGGTATGAGAAGGATCAGAATCTCCTGATCTGGTTTAATTCCACGTTGTCTGAAGAGGTGATTCCTTTCACAATTGGCGTTTCGTCTTCCCGTGATCTATGGCTTAAGCTCGAACAAAGATTTGGGGGTGTTTCTGATGCACATGTTCATCAGCTTCGCTCTCAACTTCAAAATGTTCAGAAAGGTTCTCGATCCATGCCTGATTATTTGCAAGAGCTCAAAGAGATCTCCGACTTTCTCACTGCTGCTGGAGCCTTAATTTCTGATCGCGATCTCATTGCTGCTACTCTGACTGGTCTTCCTGATGAGTTTGAATCATTCACCGACTCAATCATGCTTCGGTTAACTTCTACATCTTTGGATGAATTGCATGGCTTGCTCCTTACAAAAGAGCTCTCTCTGAATCGTCGCAAGAAAGTTGTCTCTTCCAGTATGTCTGAACCATTTCATGCCTTATCACTTTAAGCTCAACCCCCACTTCTTCCCACCCCACCTTAGGCGTATGTTGCTCAGAATCAACCACTTCAGCACTCTTTTCGTTAAAATTCGAATCGTGGGAAGATCAATCATGGCACCTATCATGGCAATTGAGGCTCTCATCGTGGTAATTCTTTCAATCGTTCTAATTCATTTGCTTAATCTCGTGGTTCTTCTTCTGGTCCTCGGGCTCTTTGTCAAATTGTGGTAATTCAAGTCATGAAGCACTTGACTGCTTTGACCGTATGAATCCTGAGATGTGTGGTCGAATCCCTTCTGCCAAGCTCCAAGCAATGTGTGCTCGTTCCAACGCCAAGCCCTCTCCTACTTGGTTAATTGATTCATGAGCTACTTCGCACATTACTAATGACATATCACACATCAACTCTCCTACTCCCTACACTGGTGAAGACAAGGTTTACATAGGTGATGGTAAAGGTCTGTCCATTTCTCATGTTGGTTCATCTACATTACGAACCCCTACTTCTTCTTTTACACTGTCAAATGTTCTGCATGTTCCTCACATACAACACAATTTGTTGTCTACCTTTCAATTTCTCCGGGACAATTATTGTTCATTGACTCTTGATTCTGATGGATCCGTTGTTAAGGATCGTTCCACGGGGAAGACGTTTTTGTGGGGATAAAGACAGCTTCTATCCTTTGCAGTCTACTACATCTTCTAGTTTCGTCTCTGGTAAAGCTTCTCTTTCACTTGCTGCATCAGCTTTTGTAAGTATTAAAGCTCCAATAAAGATATGGCATAGGCGCTTGGGTCATCCATCTTCTGCCATTTTTCGTCGGGTAATATCTACAAATACTCTTGCAGTGCAAGGCAAGTCTACAGTTGATTTTTTCTGTTCAGATTGTGCATTGGCAAAGAACCACAAGCTTCCTTTTGGTCTGTATTCTTCAGCAACTACTCACAGTCTTTAACTTTTACACTGTGATTTGTGGGGACCTGCTTCTGTTACATCTAGCAGTGGTTTCCGATATTACTTACTTCTTGTTGATGATTTTAGTAAATACAGTTGGTTTTTCCCTTTGAAAGCAAAGTCGGATGTACTTTCT